CTTTCTTTCTTCTCTCTCTCTCTCTCTCACTCACTCACTCACTCACTCACTCACTCACTCGCTCGCTCACTCTCTTCCCTCGTACTCTTTTTCTCTTTCTCGCCCGTACACGCGAGTGTGATCGGTGTAGTGCGACCAGTGCGACGTGATACGTTCTCGCTCGCGGATCGCCCTTCGCTGTGCTCGCGCGATAGGATAGGTGTCTCGCCACGGTGCCGCGCGTAACGTCATCGTGCAAAAGACTGTCAGAAGTGCCTTATTGCTTCTTTCGCGAGCCTGGTTCGTGCGATACGACACGTTTCGCCGTTCAACGGGGGATCTCGAGCGAAGAAAGAAGAAAAACAGAGAGAGAGAGAGAGAGCATCGCAACGCGTTCGGCAAGCGGAGGTAAGAGAGCTTCCCGCGTCCCGGAAAGCGACGGTAACGTACATTAGGAATCCATTCGCCGTGCAGGCTCGAGAGCACGGACGTGCGGAGGTTATGTTTCCCGATGACCCCTCGGATTCTCCCCCCCTCGCGTCCCCGACGTTACTCCTTTCTTCCCCTTCTTCCGTGCGGCCGCCCTCTCCTGTCTCCCCCCCCCTCCTCCTGCCGACCCCTCTCCGCCACTCTTTCCCTCTGCGTCCTTCTCGCTCTCTTCCCTTCGCCTTCCTCTCCGCTCTCTCGCTTACTTTGTTCCCCCCTTTCTCCCGCCCGCTTTTGCGTTCTTTTTCGCGTAGACGTCGAAGCGGCGCGATCCAAAGTTTCGAGATCCCGCGGCTCGAGCGATCGGATGACGCACCTGGCAGCGATTTTCATCCGGTTGCTCCGACTTTTAATCAGATTCCTCTCTCTCGCCTTTCGTCTTTCTCTTACACGCGAGCGTGCATGCCGAGGGTTTGTTGCACACACATACACACACACACATATATATGTGATATTTACATCTCTCATTTTTTTCTCCGCACGTCCTACGTCCTTTCCGCGACAGTCAGTTTCGCAATCTCTCGATACGCGTTTCACGGACTGTCAGCTGTCAGCCGCCATGGCTATGCCACCTGTCCGAAACTTAAATGCGCGCGCGTGCGTGCAGCACGCGCTGTCTCTCTCTCTCTCTCTCCGTTCCCTCGCTCGCTCTTTTTCTCTCTTCCCTCGCTCCTCTCCGCTCCACTCCTCTATATTACACGCTCCTCCCCTCCTTCGTTTCTTGTTCGACTCTCCGGGCGTTAAACCGCACGACTTTGCGAGTAGTTTTCTTCGCTGGAGTTCTCTCTGGCTGACGCATGATTCTTCGGCGAGAAAGGTGCGCGACCAGGAACGATTAGGCGATCGGGGCACCCGAATAGAAAAGGCTTGTTGATATTTCGGTGCGCAGGCTTTCTGGCATGACAGCGCGACCGGCCTTGAGCCCCTCCCTCCCCTCTTCCACGTGGCCCCCCCCTCCGACACGCTCCTCCACCGTATATCCCTACTACAGGCACACTACACGATACTCTATGGACCAGTGATGCTCAATACGCGACACTGATGTTTCATCAAGTTTCTTTGAAAAGATTATCCAATTTAATCTGTCATGTGCTTTTTTTTATGAAATTATGTAAGCTCAATCTTTTATCTCAGTTTCAGCTTAATAGAAGCTTATTTCACCGCTATGTATTATTGGTTTATAAATTAACTTGTGTATTAATTAATCCGCGATTATTTTGCGAATTGTACGATGATAATTTACGCATTGTTTAAATACATGCGATGCATAGAAACAATACACAGAAGTATACTACGAGGTATTCTAAGAATAGTGAGCAGCGCGCGCCAGCGCGTATATCTAAACTTGCGTGTAAGTAAACATTTTAATGTCTTTTCATATCGCACATTTAGCAGCCTTGATGAGATTGCGCTCATTATTTTGCCAAGTGAATGAAATTCAAACTCTGAACATCGAGACGTGAGTTTCTTCGAAAAATTTGAATGTGCGTTTGAAAAATCGCGCATCTGATTAATTTTATGCATAAAATATACAAAAAAAAAAAGGATCGCAGAATGTTTAAGGAGTCACAACATACGTCCGTCGCTTTTGCTTGCGGAAAAAGCATCGCCGAATTCGCGCGAGAGGTCCGTCAGCAAAATTCGATCCATTCATACTGACACAGCGTGCATACCTATTAGTTTAATTAAAGATAACGCGAGTGTGTTCGTAATCCGCAAGATTTACGGATTAGGAAGATGAAAGAGATGAAAGGAGACGCGCCACGTCTCGGACGGGGCATCACTGCTCCTTACGAATCGCGAGTCCCCCTCGCGTTCTTCTCCCTTTTTCTCTCTCCCTCTTTCTTCTTTCTTCCCGGATCCCGATCCCGATCTCGTCTCATCGCGACGCGTCTCTGTTCGGGCCCACCTCTCCTTTCTCTTGCAGCGCGCGCGCGCGCGCTCGCGCTCGCACGAACGCGAAATCGCCGCCGAATCGTCGAGCGGGCGTTTCTCAAGGTAGAAGAGTAAGTGACCGAGAGCGCGAGGAGTCGTGAGCGCGTTAGGAGTCGCGGGCTCGGATCTCGTCGGAGTTCGACGGAGCGATTGAAGGAGCCGCGAAGGAAGGATCAGGAGGGGAGAGGAGGGAATGCGCGAGATGATGGGAGCGGGGCGGCGGGAGGAGAGCAGGAGGCGAGAACTCGCTCGCTTGTCCGCTCGGCTCACGGCGTGGAGAAAATGAAACGGGAACGAATGAACGGACGGGCGTTAGCCTGTAGCGGTATACAAACGTGTACGATCGCACGGTACCAGAGCAATCGCGACAATGGTATCGGCGGTACTATTCGCGGTACGCGACGGACGACCCGGCCCTCGCGGCCTGTCCTCTTGTCTCGGATGGACCCCGAGACCGAGCTCTCTTCTACCTTGACGGCTCCACCTACGTTGCGCGTAGCGGTAGATTACTCTGCGCAGCATACTCGCCTTTCGCTTTGCCGTATGCTGTATTCCCGATATACAGGGTGTCCCGGAATTTTCTGAATTTTGTTCGACTCGAATTAATCGAATGTGCAGTTACTGGGAAACTTTTTTTAATCGCTTCTTTCCCGAAATTGTCACTGAAATATTTATTTTTTCGATCGCGCAGCTAATTGCCCGTGCAATCGTTTTGAAAGTAATCGTTATTTGTGCAATAGATCTCATTGAATCCGTTGATCTTAATTGAAATTTATCGATTATCGATTTCTCAATCCCGTTTATGCGCAGCGTGTGAGTGAAGCCCTTGTTAAGTTGTCGCGTACGTCGCTGCGTTTGCAAAGTATGATAGAGTGAATCGCGCTGACGTCCTTCGACGGAAAAAGAAACGGCACGGTTGATTAGATTAAGCGTTGCAACGTGCATCTTGCGTCCACGTATTACGGTACGATACGTCGGATTTGCGCGGCTCGGCGTTTCGGAACACCGCGCCGCGCCGCGCCGCGCCGGTGCGAGTGAAACGGCGAAAGTCCGCGCGTTGCACCCTCGTTTGACCGCTGTTTTTTCCGTGCCGCCGGAATGATACGAAAGGTCACGGAACGCTTAGAAGAACTTTCTCTGCGTTTGGTGGTCGTTAGACTCGCGTGCCAAGTAAAACTATATTTACCTCCTCCGTCAACACGTTGTGCATAACGCGTTCTTTTCTTTCCGGTTTTAAGCGAAGGATCAATTCGATCCGCTTATCTACGCAAGTAAAATATTTCACAACGAGCGGCGATTTCGTGATATGCAAAGTATTTCTCTAGAATCTTCATCAAAAACTCGAGAAATATATATTTCTTGAGGAATTTCCGAGACTGGTTTTTCCTTGTCAAAAATTGTGTAGATATCTAGTATCAGAATTGATAAGTTGTGATAAGTAGAATCCTAAAAATAAAATCGTGCTGCGGAGTTTCATATTTTAATTAATTCCATATTTACTAATAAAAATTTAATGTAAACTTTTCTATTGACGTGACATTAAAAATTAACAGTCGCAACGTGCTACAACTCTCTCGGTGAAATATTTCTGCTAAAGAAAGTAATTGTTAATTCCAAAGAGACTTCCGTGCGCACGAAACACCTTGTACATAATTTATCGAAATGACATAAGTCTTTAAATATTGATTCATCATTGGTAATCATTGGTGATCATTAATATGTCAATACAACTTTACGATATTACATTTCCCCCGGTAAAAATAAATAGCGATTACGTAGCGGTTTACAAATCCAAAGGCTTACATAAGGAACAACATCACTCGTTACAGCTGACGTGAAAAGAAATCGGGAATACTCTCGCATAGCTGCACGCCCGCGTTCGTGCAATGAAAAATCACCTGTGCGTTGCCAGTTTAATAAATTAGTTCCCGAGAAATCACTATGCGCCTAATGCTGTGTAAATGTTTAGAGAATATCGAATTGTCTCCGTATATTATAATTCCCGCTTAAATATGATATCATTATACAATTTCGTGATGGAAAAATTATTTTTATCTAAATATTATACATTCAAACTTTATTTTCCAACGTGAAAATCGGAATGAAATAATGTATTGGATTAAGTTAGAAATCGAGGGACATTTTCTGATTAATACATAAGGAAAAAATTCATTTCGAGTTGGCACGAGAATGGCATAAATTCCGTTAGTGCGAAAGTTCGAACGTTCACGAGAATGAAACTTCGATAATTCGTAAACTTCGCGACCGTCTAATTGTGGAGCTGTGAACGTCCATCACGGTATTCACTCTGGCACGTATCCCCTGCAGCGGCATGTGGGCAAAAGTTTACGGTGGTGACGGCGACGGCGACAACGGGTCTATCCGCTCGCGAGCGTGTCTCCCCGGGTAATCGTTACTCCAGATTGCGCAAGCACCTTCGGCCACGATCTTATCGTGTCGACTGCAGTGTACATTGCACGTGCATATACGTGCACGCACTTATACACTCGTCACGTACACTCTCGCACACGCGGTATCAGTGTGCAGCCAGCGCGCGCGCGCGCCGGACACACACACATAAATATTAGATATTCGCATACTCCGTGTGCGCGCATTTGTGTCTGTGCGCGCTAGGAGGAAAAAAATAGCACCGTGTGAATGTGTGAAGGGCGGTGAGGAACGAGGTATGCGCTGGAAACTCCCTGGATCCTTGAAACAACGCGGATAGGCCTAGCGCAACTTATGAATATTGATGAACCTTTCTCGACGCAACGACCGAACCGCACCTCGATCGCTTGTCTCCACTCGAGAACGATCATCCCTCCCTTCAATCCGTTCCGTTTGTCACTTCTTCGAGACGCGAGAGATACCCCCCTTCGCGGGGTAATCGACTGATTAGCCTCCGCCGCACGCGCTATCACGGTTGCTCGGTTTCCGACGAGCAGGAACGCGGCGTTTTGCCTATGCGAAAGTTAAATTACGAAATAGTTGGGATAAGTGAAGTGTAAAATGCAGAAGTCTATTGACACCGGCTATCTTGTTTCCTATTTGATTTTATGAATTAATTTATATTTGCATGCAATAGCAATGCACTCGGCGTTGCGAGCCGAGTCACGCAATGCTAATTATGAAATCCCTAATAGCGAAATGTCATACTAAGATTTATCGCCGCGCGGCGAAATAAAATTCCCATAATTGAGATGAAAGGAGCAAATTGCGCAGGAAATGCCTCCGTAAAATCTCGGCGTATCTCATTACTGAATTCCGAAGAAAGCGTAAGATGAGATTTGCAAACTGCTGAACGCTAAAACGTCGCGCGTTTATCTGCCGCTCTCGGGTCTTTTCTCGTACAACGCGGTTTCGCGTTTTAATGAATTTACGCTTCAGCACGACGTAACGCGAGCGACCTTATTCCCTCGCGACGTCAGGGAAGCAGGGGGGAGAGGGGGGGAGGGTAATATTAAACGAATGACGCGAGACAATCCGCCGTATCGCGCGCGTAAAGCCCGAGGCCTTCCCACGCGTGGTCATACCTCGCCTGGAAAATGCTTTGAGCCAAGGCTCTCGTCTCCGGAATCACCTTAGCAACTGTATATATACGATCGACGTCTTGCGCTCGTCTTGCGCTGC